GATCGTGCAAAGTCGGTAATGTAAATGATTGTACCTGTACTTTGTGGTCATAAACTTGTCCGATTGACTGACTTTGTACGTTCTTAATGACTTTATTTAACTATAAAATATTGAGAGATTATTCCATGTGATATTGTACATGTCGGGAATATTTTTTAGAGGTCTAATCTGATATGTCTGCAAGTAAAGAGTATGTTATCGTGTACCTGTATGGAATTTATTGGCGATAAAATGGATTACAGCATATATTACCTGTAATAAGAGTAAAGTTATGGGATGGGTGGGGAAATGAAGATGTAAGGTGAAAGCTACAGACGCATGAACGTAATTGTCAAATCGTGATTGTTCGGGCAATTGCTCTTTCCACTGTGTGTAATTTGTGTATAACAGTTTATACACAGATAACTCTGTAAGCCTCGGCACATAATAGAACGCATTTTGGAAATGATTGCCAGAGCCGGATCTTCGGCCTTCAGTGTGGTAACCATAGCATCACCATCAGCATCGGAATTCTCGACCGAGGTACTATGACGCACAGAGACGCAAGTAGGTCTTAATGTAAAGCGTCGGTTATTGTTGTCAATAACGAAGTCAGCAACACCATTTTCTAAAGGTTAGGTTTGAGGTCTTAAGGCGGCGAACATGAAGATGGCTGACTTCTGGGATGTTGCGCAGTGTAGTCTGGTATTAGTTTACCGACGTTTTAGAGGTCCTTGCTGCTTAATCAGGGTTATTTCTCGCTCACAGCTTAGCTTATTCATCGCCCTGATGAAAGAGGCAGCAAACACTTCTGAAACGTCGGTAAACGTCTACCAGAAAACACGTAGGAACAATCCAGAAGACAGGCATATTTATTTAAACAAACCTCTAGAGAATCATATCCTTTGTCTTTGGTGTAATCTGTCTTTGTATTAAACAGCGTAAAAGTTGTTAGATTGCGGAAATTTGCGTAATTGGTTTACTGGAGGAGAAACAGAGCTGTGGTTGGCTATTAATGTTTAAATTATACGCAGCTGTGCATTAGTTGGCGTGGTTGTAGGCGAAAGATCTTAAGTCTGCGAGATCAGTTCACTGTAGGTTGTGCTCATATTACCTTTGCACTACTAGAGCATCAACCCGAGTCAAACCGTGACGTCACGTTACACAGATTTGAAACCAAATATTTGTTTTGGTTACCATAAGGTCTCCAGTATCTTGCAGTGTCATGGTATACCACAAACATTGTTTGCACTTTCTTAATACGCTATTGGAATACAGCAAGAAACCCCTTTCATTACATTTGCGTGTTTTACATATTTCTAGCATTAGCAGTCAGGGTGAGTTGCTGGTTTTGACTACGGTGTGTCAGATATTTAGATTGCATTTATAGAATAATGCTTTTATTTAACGAGGATATTGGTAGAAATGCTCTTTTCACAGAATTGAATGTGGAACTAGGAGCAGCCTACTTTAAGATAATGTTTAAGAACTTTATTGGATAGTCTGAGGAAGAATACGAAAACCTCAGTCATGGTATGTTATATCTCGGCCGATATTCGAGAATGATGTCTCCATTACGGATTAGCAGTGCTGGTCGCCAAGCTGTTACATTCGAGATGTTGTTTTGGTCCAGTGGTGGATTCGAGCTGTGTCCAAGAGACCCACCAAAGTAGGGCAGTCCTCTCTCTTAACTTCGCTGGTGACGGAGACACCAGGTTCCGAAACGTTGTGTGATTTTAACAAATTACCAAGACGACTGACTGTTCAAAATAACATTCGAGCTTATTGCTACAATTATTGTAACCTACAGGGTTTACAACTCTGCGCATTTTAATGCCACGAAGCAGACGATTGGATTGAGTTACTTAAACAAGTGACGTGTTAGGAGCAGTGAGTGTTTTACGTTTAATGGTAACATTTTGTAGCAAATGACGACAATTGCAATTGGCATGCGGAGTGACAGGATAGCAGCAGAGAGTCTTGACCGTTTTTTAGGAAGTATTCAACGCACATACAATGCAGACAGCGAAAAGACGAAAGCTTTCACTTCTCTGGAACGAAGGTCTTGTATTGGGAGGGAAAACAGCTGCGTTGTAAAGAAATGCTATTTAGGATGTAACTGAAGCAGAAACATGAATGCAGCCATCTGTCCATTTACGCTGTAGATACGCTCCTGAAGAAAGCAGCATAAGTGGAGAACTAGTTTGAATAAGACTGAAGTATTCAGGACTAAACGACATAAGGAGAAACGAAATATTTTCTTAGTAAATATTTTGAAAAGAGATTGCTTCAGCAAATGAACATACCGTCTGCAGCTAGACAGAATGTGTATAGTTCTCATTTTCACCCATTAAAGTTAACTTCCTGTCTTAAATGCTGTGTTGTTAGCACCATTTCTGCGTCACTGCGTTCAAATGGATGGTTGATGTCGATATAAGCTGGAGGGCGAACAGTAGTCGTCTACTTCTGTTAAGACTTCCGGTTGGCCGGGTCAAGTGAAAGTATTCGTCGGTGGCAGCGGCAAGACACTTCTGCTGTTGAAAATTCATTAATTCCGCATTTCGTTATTTGAACCGCTAAAGTGAACAAGTGTGTTGTGAAACTTCCTGCAACCCTGTTATCGCCTGAGGCGGTATCGTCATCACATTACAATGGGATTGCTTGACTGCTCTAGTAGTCTTAAGGTAAAACACCTACGACTCACGTATCTGAAGATTACTTGAGGTCCTTGCCCGAATGTCGATTTGGTAGCTTCCTTGTTACGACCTACGCATTGGTGTTGTAGTGTAGTTCGTGGCTACCGTAGACTGTTCGTATTCGGAACAATTCGTGGCTATCGACAATTTATACTTATACCCAGTTTTGGTTTCTGAAACATGTAGCAGTTACTCTCTCATTCTAGGTGAGATTTGAGGTTCCCATGGCGACGAATATGAAGATGTTTTAATGTTGGCATTTTTCTCCCTTACCAACACAGTTCACATTTCAGTAAGAGATAGAATTTATAGTTCTAATATCGTTGCTATGTGTTTTTTCGATATCCTTTTCTTAAGAGATGTTTGATGGTTGTAAAAACATCAAGTACTTCATTTCGCTGATGACTTGCCGTTTGCAATGCTGGAGTGCTTGCTAACAAATGTTGACTGTAATTTGAACTTCCATTTTCGCATATTCGTTCTTCCTCTCACAAATAGAAGCACCCGAAGAAGGAACAAGAAGAGGCTAAATGAAGAGACGAAAATTTATTACCGATGTTTAATGGGACTGTTAACGTATTGGGAATACGAAAGACAATTTTAATACTTTAATAAATATTGCATTGAGAGCCTATATAAACAATAATAGAAGTGCATATGACCAAAGCCTAACACGGATGCATTCAACTCTGTATACGACACAGTCCAGAACACGGAAAACAGCAGATAGTGGCACCACACCACTTGAAACCTACGCCTCAACTTTTCGTCATGCCAACAGCAGTGAGTGAGTCACTCAGTTCACTCTGGAAGTGCAGCTGCGCTCATGCAAGAAAGTAAGCATAAAGACAACATTCAAATGGCAGAACAGTTACTTAAATGCTAATAAATATAGGCTTTCATAACATTAATATTTAAATAAATATTGTTATTGACTTGATACATACTCCATTTCAGCTTGGTCTCTTAAGTTACGGGAATAACGAAAATTAGAAGGAATGTTGGCGGTTGTTCAGGGTATTAGCGCCGTGTAGAATCGCAGGAAGATACCAGCATTTCATCTCTGGGGCTGAAGTGACGTCTCTAATTGACCTTGTACCTCACCCTTCCCTTCCTTTAACCCTAAATATATTCCCCCATTTTTCAGCCTTTGTCCCAAGGCTGACGAAAATATTGTTTGTATTTCGTGTTTCCTGTCTATTCTATTGGCCATCATTACCTGATTTTCTGAATTATTCCGCTACTACCTCTCTTAAGTGCAAATATTACTCTCAGAACTTTGAGTATTGATACTGTATGTAGACCAAGGTGCACAAGTACGATCAGACGCATGCATTTGGTTCTGAACCTTACGACGTTTAATTGTCTTAAGCGCTGAAGAGATGAGGTCAGGAACGAGTATCATTTTATGAAAGGTTGTAAGATATATCTTAAATATTGAAGGTGCAACTATTTTTCCGGCTAAAGGTTTGTTTGGATTTTCATTTCTCCCATTCCTGGTACAGGCCCTTCCATTTCGCCCTTCACCTTTTGTCACACCAATAATAATATCTGGTTAAGTATACAAATAATTTACTCCTCGCTTGATTTTCAAAGGTTTTTTATTCAGTGAAAGTGTTAGATTTTGCATAACACTTTGCAATATTTAGAGAAAATGTGTTGTGGCTCAAGGTTTTGTCTGGACGAAAGTGTCAGTTCGTTACTCTTGGCTTGTTATGACAGACGCTTTCCAAGGGTCGACGGGTCAGATGATAGTGCTTTTGTGTGAATTGCTTGGAGACAAACAGCGTCCCCTTCGCTCTGCTGAGGAACGGAGTGAAATTGTGAAGTCGCTTTACTCTTTGAATCTAGTTTTATTTACGTTGTTGAAACATTGTATTCATAAAACTGACGTCTAAATCTTTCTGAAGATTCCATGTTCGATTAAATCATTATCATCATATAATTATCTCAATTTTTTATAGTAATAAGCCTTTCAGAACGAACTACTGTACCTTATATGTAGGTAGACGCTGACTGTCTTGTGGAATATAATGCAATTATTATGACTGAGTATATTTAACGTTGAAATTTCAGGTTCTCACGGCGACTAGCATGAAGATGGCTGTATTCTGGATTGTTTAACCGTATAGTCTCTTAGAAGTTTACCGACGTTTCAGAGGTGCTTGCTGCCTCCATCAACATCGCCTTGTTGATGGAGGTAGCAAGCACTTTCGAAATGTCGGTCAGTATCCACCAGACTGCAGACAGTATAGGGAACTACTGTATGCAGTGTGTCACTGGTTTATATTCGAAGTAATTGTATTAACAATTGTATTGTTTCAGGGTTCCGATCCACGCGTGGCAACATGCCGTGGCAAACTGCAGAACAAACGCTCCAAGCTCAATCAGGAGATCAACAAAGAGCTAAGACTCCGAGCAGGCGCAGAAAACCTTTTCAAGTGAGTACAGTCCCAATTTTCCGGACCCTGACGTCCGAGTTCTAAATCAGTGGCATTGAATATTTATGTATGATTTGAGGTTTTCACAGCGGTGAGTCTGAATATGGCTGTCTTCTGGGTTGTTGCGCCGTGTAGTCTGGTAGATTTCCACCAACGTTTCAGAGGTCTTGCTGCCTCCATCATCAGGGCGAATCGCAAGGACCTCTGAAACGTCGGTAAACACCTATCAGACTACCCGGCGCAACAACCCAGAAGACAGCAATCTTCACATTGAATTTTTTTATTCACGGAACACGTAGGAATGCACATAATGTAATAGCTGATAGACCGAACTACGGTCCTCAGTTTCTAGGGCATGCCCCTAGCGGATAGAAACCAATGAAATAAAATCTTCAATCGTGTTGAAGAAGACTGTAAATTGAGAAAGTCGTTGCTAGCATTGGCGGTAAGTCTCTTTTTGAGTCGTCTTCGCCTTGTCTAATGGTATATAAGTTTCTTAATCCTATTAGACACGCGGTATGACTCAGTTGATAGAGGATCATACAGTCTGAAGGCCTATAGAAAAAACCCACAGACTTTGTTGCAGCGAACAGCATTCGGACCCGCTGGTCCGTTGTGCTAGAGGCCTGAGAACCCGTACCTTTAGGGCTCACATCTATGCTTATTAAAGCATAAGCTGATGAATCAGCTCTACAGTACGGGTTACTGATTTCTGTTGCCGAAACGACGTTTCTTTGGAAGTTTCTTGCTTAGTTATATAACGTCTAATGGGAAATGACACGATGGTTATGACTGATTGATTTTGATGGATGTGGAAGAGAGCAGACGCGGTATTCTTCAGGATAGACAGGACAGAAAACTACGAATTTTGGCTTATGCATCGTAGTAAGTGCACTGTTAAAGCCTCAGCTTGTATCAGCAATAAAGTATCGAAAGTGAGCGTTGCAAAGAAAATGTAAGGAAATCGTGACGTATTTCAGATTGGAGGAAACGTTTGCACGTTCTATTCATTTCACGGGTTCCTTCATTTCACAGTGACACACCGCAACACGCACAACAGAGAGAAAACAACAGTTTTAACTAAATTGGAAAAGGTTGATATATAGTTTTGTTATTACTTTTGGACATCGGGGAGGAGATCCTTAGTGTAATGACACAAAAGCAGGGAATTGAACCTGATTATGGCCACATGTATCCGAAACATGTTGTTCAAATGAATAGGCAGTGAACAGACTATGAGAGAAGTACAGGAAACGCCGAGGCTTGCCGAGGAACGTCGTTGCAAAAGAAGTAGAACTTGAAAACTTGTTTCCAAGAGCATGTATCAGTAGAGCCTAGTTATTACTGCATTACGCGCAGGTTTGCTCGGGGAAGTGTACGTCGTTAGAAGTGAATACAGTTACTTGCTATCTCTGAAAGTGAGTAACGTAACGGAAACTGCTGGCCTCCAGCGCAACGCCTAAGAGAAATATTTATACTTCCTTGCCTCACTCTTGTGTCAGAGAAGTTGCCGGGAAAGCACGGCGTTCCAAATAAGTTGAAAGTGTTGGTGCAGCGATCAGGTACTTGCATGAGCATCAGTTATAATGCAGTTAGGAAATGGACTGGGGAGAATAACAGCGTACAGTGGCTGCCTGGAAAATAAAAGAAAGTCGTTCTGGACTGCAAAGTATGCGGAAATTTATACTCAAGTGTTTTATTTACTGTCAGTTCAAAACATCGATGACCTTAAAAGAACTTAGTGACGCCACAAAATTGATACATTTTTTGTTCCTCGACTTTATAAAAACTCTGTTCTGCTAGAAGATTAGTAACGCTATTTAGAAATGAAACTTGAATATTAATTCTTTTATAGCCTTTCTTTAATATGACAGCCGTAAACCACTTACAGAAACTTGTATGTCTGTACGTATTGATTATACATGAGGTGTTTTTTTTTCGTCAATGTAATCTTAGTTTCTATAACATTAATATCAGTTGGGAACAAAATGAATGAAAAAATCCTTTTGAATTTCAATAGTAAAAGTTCTTTTCAAGAAATATAATGACAGGAAGTTAATTACTGAAGTTTTAGATTCCTCCGGCAATAATAAGAATGTGCGTGGAAACTTGAATAATGAGTCTTTCAATAAAAATGGCAGCAAAAACAACATTTATGACAGTATATTTATTTTTTGTCTATCCTAAGATGTTCATAATACGAACGATTTTGAGAATTTTATCTGTATAATTGTGATCATACACAGAAATTATCTGCTATTATGAAATCCAGAGGTCGTCACTGAAGCTCACAACTGGATCCTATTCTGAGCCACCTATATCCAATCCATTTTTACGAGTTAATTTCCATAAAACAGCCTTTTATCTTTCATCTACTCCAAGGCCTCCGTTTTAATCCTCGTCCACAATGTTTCTCATTAATTGAACTTTTGGTATGCCATTAGCTCAGATATGTTGGCGTAGTATCTAACCACCTGCTCTAAATAATTTTTCTGGCCGTTAAAATGAGGTCCGCTATTCATCCTAAAATAGGTCTTACTCAATATTGTCTTTCTCCGTTTGTGTCATACTTATCTCTGTAATTTATGCACCAGGAGTGTACATATGTTCAGATCAGATATTAATACAAAATTTTCGTCGTAAACCTCGAACGAAGAGACCACTTAAGTTATCAGAGCTTAGTTGAGACGAAAATACTAAAAATTATTTTAAATAAACAGATAAATGCGGTGTGAGGGTGTGGATTGGATTCATCTTGCTGAGAGCAGGATGGTTGTGAACTCTGTAACATGTTCGAGTTCTACAAAATGCGGGGAATTGATTAGCTGAGCGACTGTTAGCTTCTCATGGAGGACTAAGCTGTGTGAATTTAATTATGACACCAGAGCTTATTATCCTCTACTTTTCAGCACACAAAGATTTTGCAGTATGTTTAAATTCGACGAAGTTCTACGTAAATGAAGGAATACAAATGTCAAATACGTTAACCTACATTTTGTCCACTGCGATTCGGCTGATGTCGGCCGTACGTCTGAAAGGTTCTGTAACGTGCATTGTATCCGTATGCACTGCTAAGGCACACATACTCATACTAAACATGGGAGATTGACTGGATGCTATATGCCTGAATTCATAGTAAACGGGATATTCCCCTAGGCTTATGCATTGAAAGATTTGTTCAAATGTAGACTAGTGCCGGTAGCAGAATATCTGTTTAACGAAGTTGGCTACCGTATGAATTAAACGTTCCAGACAATTAAATTTGGCTTAGCATTTGGCATTCCGCATTAATCGCCTGTCATCGTACTTGATATTCCTTATGGCTTTGTCACGACCAGAGCGTGTGGTCTTATCTGATGTGGTTCTTTCATTACGCACATAAATCTGCTTATATGCGCATACAGACTGCGCGGGTTTTTTGGTGTTCTGTCTTCTGCTATGTTTGTGGTTTGCGCACGAGTAAGTGGAAAATGAACTCCTGCTTAGGCGAGACCTCAGGTTCTCACGACAGCGATTAGGAAGATGACTGTCTTCTGGGATTTTGCGTTGTGTAGTCTGGTAGAAGTTTGCCGACGTTTCAGAGGTGCTTACTGCCTCCGTTATCAGCACTGTGAGTATGCCGTGTGCCGGCGTCCTGATTAACATAATTCGCTTGTGACTGAAATTAAGGGACAAATTAGTTTTCTCATATAACAGAAGCAGTGATGACTATTTTTGTAAAGTCTTCAATTTCCTTGAATCAGATTTTAATTAGGTCATTGTATTTATCACTATTAATACTACTTATCACTATTATCAGTACCCTAAATTCCACGTCTTTGAAAAATACAGAGAATGTTTAAATTTAAGGGAAATATCTTTACAGGAGAAAAACGGTATAATTAATAGCTTCACATTTGTACTCTTGCCCTGACATTGTTAGGGCGATTAAATGAAGTGGGCGTGGCGTGTAGCACGCATTGACGGGAAAAATAGGTTCATAAGTTTGGTTTTGAAATTCTCATGCGAGAGACGTAGGTGGGAAATATGAAGATTCTTGATGTGGTCAGTAGTAACTTTCGACGACTCAAGGGTCTATGAAATACAGGGTTTTTGCCTTTGCAGTCTGTGCAGAACGCGCATTCGTGCATTCGTGATAACTCCCTATGACATTCCTTTGTGATGCAATGGACACGATTGTTGACTGACTTGGCATGCAGGTGCACCAGCGCGTGCCTTCTCAGGGGGGCCTTGCCCCATCCCATTTGCCCCGCCCAACCCTGTCATTTTCACTTCATAAGGCGTGGCAGACAGGATTCTCTTTCTTTTCTCTTCAAATGCTAATTGCATACACAATTACTTCACATACGTAAGGACAATGTTGGCGCTGTTCTGTGGGAAACAGTACTGCAGGCGGAGTGAGGATTAGATCGAAGTGACCCCGCAGTGATTCATTAGGCGCTTTTAGACGCACGTCTTTAATTACGTAGCCTCATATTTCATCCGCCGTGTAATGACACTGACAGGCGGTAATTCTGACCACCTGGGAATGATTCAGGACAAACACCTAACTCATTCATTGCTAATGTGGATCCTGTTTGTGAGGTTACAGACGTCTTACAAACCTTTACTGAATGTCGTCAAGGCCTTGTGGGTCCCATTTGATGCAGTGCAGGTCCACAAGTCGGTGAGGACTGCTACGGAGCAATTAAACTCTCCGAAACGTCGACAGAACAGCCCATATCAAAATAATTGTCTATAAGCTAGATTCATATCAGCATCGAACTACTGATGAAAAAACCGAAATGTTCCACATCTAATATTACATTATTATATAAACTTTTTACGTCCATAATAAATTGTTCTGCATTTGTGAAAGTAATGAGATGGAAAGTAATGACCAATTTAGGGCCGTTTTGCAAACAATGCCATGATATGTCATTTGGTAAGGCTAGGCAATGATAAAATGAATCTTAATCCTTTAAACCCAAAATTCATTTAAATAATGTTTGGAAAAGTTCAGTTCCTGCCGCGAAGTAAATGTAAATTACTCTTGCTGTACAATCGCAGCGTATATTGAAAACGCGTGAAACAGGAAAGGTATAAATGCTCGTGGATTTTCTGAGTGATACATCATCAAATATCTTAATTTGTAGTCCTCGTGTCAAAATGGTGCTCAGTGCGCCTGCGCAGCAGCCGCTATCTGGGCCGTGGGTAGGATATTTATGCTCCTCGTGTTGAAATAAAACCGCGGATATGCATGTAACAGGTTTCCTGTAAATTGATAATGGTCTTCTGGGTTACGACGCTGTGTGGTCTTCGTTCTAAAAATTAAAATTATATTCCTCCGAAACGTTGGTGTACCCAACGTCATAACGCAAGGAAGATTTAACCGTGGAGTTGAATGGCTAGTGAAAAATAATCTGTGATGTTAGCGACCGCGTTGACCTTACGACCTGTCCGACTACACACGTTGTTGTTGTTCCCAATGAATATTAAGGCGCAGCTAAATTTTACGTAGTGAATTGGTCATTATAGGTTTTCCCGTTTTGGATACGTGAAATCAGAAATGACATCACATGATAAAATGTGGTGGAACGAATAACTAGTTTTAAGAGGCGAATGATCGCTAAACGTCTTCTCGTCCTAACTCGAAAATAATCGAGAGCTCGAGTATTAAGTTAACGAAAGTGTAGAGAATCACGTTCTGGCTTTTTCGCCGAGGAACAATTACACGATGCAGGCTTAATTCCTAGTTGAAATATGTGTGGAACTCCGGGCGGGCGGTATAGATCTTGCTATGAATCCCTGGCCCTTAGAACAGAGCTGCCACAACGCACATGAACACGCTTACGTCTTATGAAATCGCGGCCATCAGCATAAAGATTCTACGGAGAGTTAAATTCTCATGTAGCCTGGGAATTATTTCTTGTGTCACCTCTATAAATGTATTGAAACGTCTTCACATCGCGATCTCTTTAACGAATTTATACAAATTTTTATACCGCATAGATTCTGCGCCGATTATTACCCCATTCTCTTTAAGTCTTACCGCCTGTGCATTTAACAAAGTTGATAAAATCGCTTATGTGCATCTGATTTATTTCTACGTGTGTGCCATGGTCTTACTATTGTGTTGGTTTTAATGAAGTCCATGATGACCCCTTCACAAAGTTCCTTGTTGACCTTCAGCTAATCCTTAATGGAACGTTAAGTTCATATCTAGATAGACCGTTTTAAGTTAAATTTCACTTTAATTGTTCTCTCGTGTAGTTGTGAAGAAATGAGTTTAAAGGTTACATTTAATGTTGTCACATCAGCGAGTATGAAGATGACTTGTCTTCTGGCATGTTGCGTTATGAAGTCTGGTAGATGTTTACCGACGTTTCAAAGACGCTTATGTCTCCATCATCAGGGTGATCGCCTTTTTAACGTCGGTAAACATCTACCAGACTTCATAACGCAACATGCCAGAAGGCAGTCTTTTTTGGGTTTAAAGTTTTTCCCTTCTCACCTTCGGGCTGTGTGCCAATGGAAGCATTTGCCAGGCATCTCCGGAAGACAGACTCAGAATACTAAAATTCACCCAGAAGTGTGAGTTACATAATACTGAATGCTGAAAGTGAACGCAGGAATTGTGAATTTACAGATCGTACACAAGTGTCTATTCGTTTGTACACGTGTCTTTTTGGTGCAAACGTTAGAATAGGCCTACGTTTAAATGTTTTACGTTTTTCGTGCATAAAGCCTTTAAAATTAATGCTGTTTCATTGCCTTGATTTCAGGCATGTGTTCCCACCTTTATCATTGTTTTATCGTAGTCTTCGCTGGTTTTGTAACTCGAGAAAAGGAATAAAATCCGAACGAGTAGAATAACAGTTGTGTAAATGTTAGTTGCCGGATTTCCTGCAGTAACACTGCGGGCTGTCTGCTCGTTAGCTCACAAATCCACGCTATCTTAATGTAGCATCAACAGCACAAGATTTGTGGGGTTAGAATGAGTTGTACAAGAGGAAAGTGGGCTTTATGAGAAACTCCGACGGTGTCCGTATATATAAACTGGAGAATCGCTGGAAAGGTTTTAATTATATTTAATATTTGAGGACCTTGCAGAAAGTTACAGGTTTTACTTATAATTTCGTAAGGGAGTTAATGTGTTTTAGCACAGCATTACGTCAATTACATCTGTTTGAATAATAAGGATGGCGTTCTCCTGGGTTGTACCGTCGTGTAATGTGGTAGAAGTTCACCAGCGTTTCAGAGTCCTTGCTGCCTCCACCATCAGGGCGATGAGTAAGACAAAATATAAACATTTGTCACACCTTTCGAGTATTTTTATACTATACTGTTGTTGCCTGTACTGATACAAGAATTTTTAAGAAATTGGAATATATTGACTTACGTTGCCCCCGACCACCACCACGATTTCCATGTCTAAATCCTGTTTGTTTGTGTACGGTGCACATTCATCTGTCCTGTGCATCGGACATTACACTTCTTTGTTTCGTCAAACAAATACCCTTCGAGGCATTGTCTTGCAACGTGTAGGTATGATGGCATACCCTCCCTCGTATTGTCTTACAGCAGCAGGTGATGGTCGGAACAGCTTCGTGCTTCGGGCAATTAAACTCTGCGTCCTTGCAGGGAGACGAGAAAAATGTAAATGAAGACATGCTTCGTTTAATGTATGATGTAATGATGAACGCAGTGCATTTTCAATGTCACTGCGGGGACGCCCCCCTCCGGCTTCAGTGCTTTACCTACATTATGACATGTCTTATGTTTTTATGCTAAATGTGATCTTCGTTCCTTTACGTAAATATAAAACTGACTTGTGTTGCTGGAATAGTGCCAGACTCCATGAAACAGAATCTTCTTGAGAAGCTAATAGTCGCTCAGCGTCTGTGGCCTCTGTCCTGAACCAGGCGAATCACATGTGTGCCTGCTTAAAGCAAATCATATAACCCAAAAGTACTGGGGAAGACTACAATTTGTTCTGTCTCGTATATTTAATAAGTCAGGTAAGTTGATGTGAGTTTATGTATTCTACTTATGTTTTCATTGCTGAGGCAGTTTGATCGCTGGATAGGTATCTAAAACTCATTTCAGCATCTCTTTGTTCTTATGTTTAAATATTCGCCCTGGAAGTTGTAATTTCGTGTCATCTCCTGTAGTTTACTCTCATCCTTTCTACGTAGGCTAATTACATTGTTTCTCCATGTCTTCGTTTATTTAACAGTGTGCTTGCTGAAGAAGGGAGAATATGACGGTGTTGTTCTGTATTATGACGCCATGCACACTCGTACGTAGATACGTTTCGGCGAAATATATTGTCTCCCGTCTTTAGCCCTGAAGATGGACGCAGTATGTTTCTTCGAAACTTTGGTATCCATCTACGAATTTCAATGGCGTCATAACCCAAAAAAACATTGTGATGAAGATAACTGTCTTCTGGGTTGTTGCTCCGCACAGTCTAGTAGATGTTTATCGACGTTTCAGAGGTGCTTGCTGCCTCCATCATCATACCAGATTACTGGCCACAGTCAGAACCTGATGTCACCTACAGCTTCGTCGTTTGTTGGGTTGAAAGCGTGACAGCTTATTTGATCGTATGCTCCCCCGTTTTTGGCCCAGCTATTCGGTCTTGGAATTTTGTAATTTCTGTTGCTTCTCACCACCCCGTATTAATATAGGTTTCATATCAAAAGCACTGCTACATATATTTAGTATCAAAGTGCATAAAACGTGACCTATACGTATAAACGTTCGCCTTTAATGTACATTTCTCTCAGAACCCTCGCGTGTGTTTTTTTATCTTTCCAGAGCTACTACAAACAGGAAGCTGAAAGAAACGGTGGCTTTGGAGTTGAGTTTTGTCAACTCAAATCTGCAGCTCCTCAAAGAACAACTTGCGGAACTGAACAGCTCAGTGGAGCTTTATCAAAATGACAGGTGAGATATTTCTACCATTAATTAAGCACCACATCATGGATGTATAGCTCCATGTTTTCTTAACCCTGGTGATAGAGCGATTTCAGTGGTGTGTGTTTTCTGAAGAGGCCCCCTGAACCTGGTGGCAGAGAGAGAAACTTCCGCCCCCTGGAGGGAATCGAATCTCAGTTGTCCAGCTCGTGCCGGTCACTATACTGACCAAAGTATTCTGCAGTTAAATTAAACACATGAATCAAGTAAAGTTTTAATCGAATTAATTCAGTGCACGAGAACGTCATGAGATATTGATGATCTGGGTTTTGGCGCCGTGTATAATCGTCAATGGGTGACGATATTTCGTGAAAAATGTTTATCTGTCTTCAGCTCCGAGACCTAGAAGATCATCATCATCATCATCATCATCCACTTCACCACAATGAAAATTTAAAATTCACATTAATTATATATTGTTTAATAAAGCTATGTCGCTCGAGGTGACTTAGACAGCACGAAGCAGCCTAATTGCTCTTTAAAAGTAGTCGTTTGTTTTCTTTTGTTACGTTCTGTCTGTCTGTCTGTCTGTCTGATATCTCATTTAGTATGGAATGTAGATTCTGTCAGTCTGCTGTGCCCATTTTATAATAATCCAGGTTCTGTATGACGGATAAAAATGAAACCGTGGCCCTTATTGCAGCGTATTTTGAAATTTCCTTTCCTTTCAGGTTGTGTTCAGAACGACTGAACGCTGTTATGTAGACTCAGACGTCAGTATTTTGCTGGTCCCTTAACATGTCTTTTTCTTTTTGGCTAAATTTCGTCTGGAAATGCATTTTTATTTTTCTCCTCAGATTTCGTAGAATGTTTCCGTTATGAGGAGGTCATGTATGACATTTTTTCTACCTGTCCGCCTGCTCCCATATTACTTCGCATTTGTGTTGGTGGATCCGTATTAAAATCTGTCCGATGAAGGGAATTTTGATTCATGTTAGTCCAACGTAATATCTGCCTTACATGTATCTCAAATCGAATATAATCGGTTTTGTTCGACACAAATCAACACGAAAACTTTAGTACATGGCATAAAACACAAATCTGATTAAGATGTAGAACTTGTAACTGAATACTTTTTCTATATCGGATTTGATAATTGGGCCTTAAGTATTATTTATCGTTCCATTTATGATATATGATATCTAGGCCACATGTCTCGACTTGTTCTAACCTGTGATCCCGGCGTATGATCAAAGAGGATCATAAAGTCACTGCCAAAACAGGCACTCGACTAACATTTCGGAAAAATATTGTACAATCTCAGTACATTTATTCCGATCGCCCTGTCATATGTCATTCGACGCCAAATACATAACCTCAGCAGTTGATCCAGCGTGGCAAAATAACAGAATGAACACGACGAACGATGATCTGAAATCGGGAATGACGTTACATTATTTGTTCTATTATTTATTGAAGTCACATTATTTTTGCATCAGTAAGCAGCTAAGAGCGCTGTGGTTTATAATTTTTTTGTATCGAATTCCAGAGATTGAAGGTTCGGTCTTGTTTGAGCACGGTGACTATGAAAAATTCCGCTATTCCGCCATTTTGTTTTTTTAAAATGCTTTCTTCTATCACATAAAACAGACAGAGCATTGCCGCTTGTCCGTGTTTTCTCCGCCTCATTGCGTGTACTATGCTGTATAGCTCCAGAAACGCAAGTGTGATCTTTACGTGTAGAATGCTACTTCATAGTGATAACAGCCACCGGTAATCGAATACATTTTGTATTCAGGGTCTGGGAGTGTGTAGAACTATACGTTTCATATAGGGAGGATGAAGAAAATTTTAACTATAGGATAATTCTATAAAACATTGGTTGTACAAGTACACGGCAGTGAGATTTGTGTAAGGAAAATGAAGTCAGAATAAAGTCGACTGATTAAAAATGGTTAAGGTTAGTGACGAATACAATGAAAATTTGAGAAATATACAGTTATACAAATAGTTTAAGTAGAGGGGACTTCGGTTGCTGAATAATTGTTTGCAAGGTTTAAAGGAAACCGGAGGAAATGATGTTCTACCCACGAACCATTCGCACACACAAACTCATCTCTGCAACGGATGTGCCCTGAACCTGCTACTTTCTATTGTGTTCCTGGTGCTATGTATAGGCTGTAATAGTTGTTGGTCGTTGGTTTCCAGCACTGAACCTGTCATGCCCATGATTCCACTTGGCCTGAAGGAAACCAAGGAAATCGACTTCCGGGAACCTTTCAAGGTCAGTAAGGGTCAATATTTTTAATTTATGTGATTAAGGATGATTGCAGTTTACTATCCTCGGACTCCTATGAAGTTATTGCGGGTTTTGGTTAATTCTGGGTTATGAGCTCGTCAGTGGATAAAATGGTAAGATATCTGTATCAGACTTGAATGTTCGTTCGTTGATTCTAGTTACATTTAGACGCTTTCCTTAATCAGCCAGATGAGGCTGATTGAGATGAATGTCTTCGGAGATGATGTGCCGTGTAGTCAGCTAGAAGTTTACCGACGTTTAACAAGTGCTTGCTGCCTCCGTCATCAGGGCGATGAAAAGTCTGACGGTACGCTTTTACCAGACTACACTGCGCAGCATCCCAGAATAGTCATCTTTATACTCACCACCTTGATAACCTGAAATTTCATATCAAGGCCGATTGAATTTGGAAATATTTCTTTTTATGTAACAAAAGATGTCGTTTTATTGCTGTTTAAAAGTACATCACGTGTTGTAAAATCTCTGGGTCTTGCAAAACACAGTTACTGGTAGTGAATTTTTTTTTTGGTTTATTTAAAGAAGCTGTCAGTGGCTTAGACTATATATGTGGCTTGGAATTGTAGGATGATTAATGAATAATTAATTTTAAAGTGTGTGGGAGGAAGCGGTAGCCCTGTGTGTGTTTTCGTGCCTTCCATACTTTATTGTTCATAGCTTCTCGTGCACCTCGATTTTCATATTCAGCGGAAATAAAGCATTGCTTGGGCCTTTTATTGTCCGAGAATATGCCATGTCTCATAGAATTCCGTGTGCTTTTGTACACGTTCCCGTCTTGTTTATATGAAAGGATTCTACCGCCTCGTTGTAAGAGTGGTGTAAGTGTTCCGTGGACTTCAGCCTTTGAATTATGATTTTCTAATAAAGTCAGGTACCGGCCTACTATAACACATTTTTATGACGAACATTTTGACAATATAACATTCTTCTTCATGTGGGTCTATTTAATATAGCAGTAAGCACTTTCCGAAACGTCTGTAAACTCCTACCAGAAGACATACTCGCCACTGCGAGAACCTGAAATCATTTTGGTAATTCTAAAATATTCTATTATATGCGCATGTAGAAGCCATTTTCTCAGTTGTCTTTAATCTTATCCTGGAAAATATGCCCTGTCCTGCCTCGCGCCACTGCCGGTGAGTTCAAAGTTTTCAATCTTATTTTCATAATTGTTATCTGGATTACCTTTATAATTATCAAAACCAAACTTCGCATCCATATGGAATGTATTGGTACACATAAAAATTTCTGTGATGTTGAGAGATTTCAGAGCAGGGCTTCTTTCTCACAGACCTTCTGGTGCCATTTTCACATTTTCTGTTCACATCTCCCAACCGATTACTATATTCCCCGGTCTTCAAATAGGCAGAGTTAAAGGAAATATCAAAATAATTACATATAACTTACTTCTGTCAATAGCTTGCTACCAGGAATCTATTAGAAGCGATTTTGGGGATGATTCCCCCCAAAAATGTCGGGGACCGTATGATAAACACACTGTTCTGGTAATTAGAGGCCGACAGAAAAGTTACGAAGACCAATTTTTTTTGCCTCATTATGACAGCTTATTCTGATGTAATTCAACATTTATATCATTAACGTAGTTGAATTTTTAATTTCTGAGATATATTTTTCATTGTATTTTTTCAAAGATCCTCTTCCCAACCCTAGACACGCTGTTGAGTGCAGAATTCCTTTCCCATTCTGGGAAACAAGAAAATTTCAAGCATTGTAACAAACCTTATTGTCCTGTAAGCAATTTTCTAGTCAATGAATTGCATGCCAGCCAGCACCGTGAAACAGTGATCTCAGAAACGGTCTGTTCTTTGCAGTGCTGTCTCACGGATGCCTCGTAAGGTTAAGTTACGTAACCTAAGGCTTTTCCCCTTTCAAGAATCTCCAGATTTCAATGCCAGTGTTAACCACCGAGAACCTTGCTTCCGGCGTGAATAGACAGTTCCCAGTAAATGACCGCTAACCCATTCAATCCCAGGCCGCTCCTAGGAGTGAACTGAAGATCGAGACAAAAGTGAAGGTCTAGTCGCTTGCCTGCTAAAATTGGCCCCTTTGCACTCTGGTACTTGCCAGGACACCCCTATTCCGAATTTCATGTAGATATGCCGTATCGTGACGTCATACAGGTCTTCTGTTTGGAAATCGCCGCCACCACTTAACCTACAAATAATGTTTATTTTCATGATGATGCCAATTCAGTCCACTTCTGTATTATTAGTGAGCTGCATAAACAACTAGATGACCGGTTGCAGATGTAGCACAAGATAAAACAAAAATAAGAAATACAACAAAACAGTATTATAATAATAATTTTCGAGCATTGTACTTTAATCTGTTTCTGCAGCCGAAATACGTAATTACCCACAATTCATCCTCGAAGTTTCTTGTGTTGCTGGTTCAGTTCAAAAGAAGACGTTAAGTTCAGATTAAGTTTTTTGTGCAAACAAGAACATACCATCTAAGGGATTGCAGAATATATGAGGTGGAGAATAATACGTAAGTCACAAATACGCCTGAAAGTAGTTGTGGGTCGGGGGAAGTTCATTCACTTAGCTGCCTAGCGTTCCGAAAGACTTAACAGCTTGTAATTTTTCCAGTCCGCTTTTGTTATGAATATTAATTCTTATGAAATACAGTGTGTTTGAGTTAGATTTCTATCGCCACTTTGTTATATACGCATGATTGAGTATTTCCAGAATGTTCGCTTCAGAATGAATTGTCATTATAGTCTAGCTGTCCAAATTTGGTTTCCGAAAGACACGGAGTATTAACGGACACGAACTAATCGGGGGTTGACTTGTCTTGCGGACGAAGACGGCTTGACTGTAATTTCAGCATATTGTCTGCAGTACCTGTAAAAGTGATATTACATTTATGTATTGTTCATGCACATACATACAGTGCGTTCACTGATGCACCTGCAAGCAACTGTCACTTCCCTGATCCCAGCAGGCATTGCACGACTCGCTACCAACTATACAACTCTCGGTTAGCGTTTAAAATATACGTTAAAATATAAGACGGCTTCCACGTGGTATGCCTGACCCATGCCATAAACATGACATTTAATTTTAGCGGGCCTTGTCATGTTATCTGGCGGCACTTACATCAGTGGAACCCCCCCCCCCCCCCCCCCCC